GTTAAAATTTTTGCTTGGAGAGCTTGCCAAGATAGCCTGCCCTCCAAACAAAACCTGATTCGAAGAGGAATACCTGTTGCCACCAAATGCTGTTTTTGTGACTACCAAGTAGAAGATCTATGCCATGTTCTACTAAGTGCCCTTCTACTCACCAACTCCTAACCAACCGGTTTCCAGCACTACAGAATATGGATTACCTGGGAGATTTCATGCAAGCATCTATGGATATAATGGCAAAAGACTCAAAGGATACTCTCTCAGAATTTATACTCATCACTTGGGGTTTTTGGATCCGTCGAAACAAAATGGTTCATGACCAGCTGAACCTTCCACCACAACAAGTAATTGCTACCACTTTAGCCAAAACACTCACTGCTGAAATAGGTCTGTCCCTCAATTACTTCCCTGGATTGCTTCTCCACAATTATAGGTGGTCCGCACCACCTAAGAAAGCATTAAAACTCAACATTGATGGCGCTCTATATTTTGACTCAAATAAATCTAGGATTGGAATCATTTTACGAGATCAAGAAGGAGAAACAATTTTACCCGCTAGTGGTCCTACAAACACAATCTTGGAGCCGGAACACATTGAAGCTCATGCACTGGTCAAAGGCCTACAACTGTGCCTCAACCTTGGAATATCTCACTTAGTGGTGGAAAGTGATTGTTTGTTTCTTGTCAACAAAGTCAATAAGTCAAACTCGTTCTCTTCATCAATCCGATCTCAAGTTGCTGAAATAAAAGAGTTAATGCAGATATTTCCTCAATGTAACCTTCAGTATTGCAACAGACTATGTAACCAAGCAGCACACTCCCTGGAGTGACACGCATGGTCCCTTGAAGACATGATCCTCTGGTGGTATAGTGTTCCTTTATTCATTGAAAATGTAATTTTCATTGATAAACACTATTGTACCATTTCTTAAGGTTTATTACCTTAATGAATGAAATATTTTCCCATAAAAAAAATGAAAAAAAAAAAAGAATACTTTAGAATCAATTAAATAGATACATGTGTTTGTGAAAAATTAAATATTTTAGTATGAATTGAAACCTTTTTTATGTTAAAAAGCGACCATGGTGTAATACTTTATTTATATCTGGCATGAGAATTAAGATGTTAAAACTTAAAAGTGACATTCTTTGTCACTTTATTCTAAAAAGGTCTAATTATATCTCATTTGAATTTTTAGGAGTCAATTAAAGAGATGCATACATGTGTATGTCAAAATTTAAATATGAATATAAATTCAAACATTGGTTTACATTAAAAAAATGGCATGACGTAACACTTTATTTGTATTTTTTTGCATATGAGTTAGTTTACTGAAAATTTAAAGCAACATATGCTACCACTTTTTCTTTCTTTCTCTCTTTCTTTTTTTTTTTTTTTTTTTTTTTTTGAAAAAAAAAAAAAAAAAACCCTAATACATTGCTATTATAGTACATGATTACTAAATGGCTTTTCCGTAGTTAGAGACCCTCTTTGGCTGAACATAAGAGTATTAGATTATGATATTGAATTATTTTTAAGAAAATAGATTGTTGGAATAGGCTGTTTCTGTTTGACAAATTGTGATAATCCGATTTTGGAATGCCCTGACTTGTGCCAAAGTGTGATAGTGAACATATTATAGTAAAAGTTTGGTCTCAGTATCTTATTCTGAAACAATCATTGCTGAATTATGGCCCAAATTATTATAAAACCTTACTATTGATTATCGGAAAATCTGAATTACTTATTCTATAATCTGTTATTAGTTCAAAATAATCTGCACCAGGTAGGATTCCATTAGGAGATGTTTGGCAAAAACAGTTTCTTTCTTATAAGCTGGGGCCCCACAAATTATGTGGACCAAAATACATAAGCCCAGCTAGATAAGAAGTAACTTATATTCCCAAACATGCTTTAGATCCCAAGTGACTAATCAGATGCTTTAAGAGGCTGGGATACCATGGGGGCTGATGTTTGAATGTAACTTTTTATTTTTGCTAATTCATTTGATACTTGATATTCAAAAACATGAAGGTCGTGCTTTCTGTGGCAAGAGTAAACGGTCTACCCTTTATTTGGGTGAACTCATCACTTCTTCCCTAAAGTATCTGTTGTTGCCTGAGCTTAATGATCTCCAATGAATTTAGATGATAACATCAATGCATTTGATACTAATTTGTCTCATCTCTTCATCAATAGAATCTGGATGGTGTAAACTACTTTCATGTGAAGGTTATCGGCCTCCTCTTCGTTGCAACCACAAGGAACAATCTATCACCTTCCCTTGTCTTGGAGCTTCTACAGAGGATTGCACGTGTCATTAAAGATTACCTTGGAGTTCTCAGTGAAGAGTCATTACGCAAAAATTTTGTGCTTGTTTATGAGCTGCTTGATGAAGTTATGGTAAGTGTAGATGCACAACATATGAGATGCAATGATGGTTTTTTTCCCCTCAACATTATACACAATAGAATTTAGCATATATCCTTCACTGAATGTTTGCTTGTGATAATTTTTTATAGAAGTTTTGCATAATTATGTAAAATATAGCAACATATGAACATTTAATATATTCATCCACCAGGTTTCATTCTTGCATCCCATTTCAACTTTTTGCAACATTAGTTTGTTCTGATTCAATGATTTTTTATGCATTCATGTTATCCTTCCTTGTGTTAACATCACCACGTGTTATTTTAATTCCACAGGATTTTGGTTATGTTCAGACAACATCCACTGAAGTCTTGAAATCTTATATATTCAATGAGCCAATTGTGGTTGATACTGACCGCTTATCATCGCTTGGTCCTGCAGCCTTATTTGTGGTATTAACTTTAAGTTGTTTAATCATGATATTCATGCAGTAAGACTACAACTACAGCTAATTTTTCTTGAGTTATGATTTAGTATTACTGTATTAGTATACATTTCAATTGAACGTTACAATTCATGTGTTGTCAATGATGCCAACAATTTTATTTTATGCAGCAAGGGGCCAAACGGATGCCTGGAACGGCTGTTACAAAATCTGTTGTGGCACATGAACCTGGGGGTAGGAAGAGGGAGGAAATCTTCGTGGATATAATTGAGAAAATAAGTGTCACTTTCAGCTCTAGCGTAAGTAAATTTGTTATTTTTATGAAGGACCAATATTTATCAATCTGAGTTGCACTATTGAAGCTTCTTAATTTAATAAGAAGAATTGGAAGCAGCTAAGCCTAAACCTTAATCCTCTGTAGATTCTTAATTTAATGCACTAGTCTAATTCCTCTAGTGAAGCAATTCTAAGAATATTGGCAGCTAAACATGAAAAGGTTAAGGAACAAGTGCTTATTCTAACTGAAATGTGGTAGTATAATATGTTGAAACTTTCATTCAGACCTTGTAATGAATTTAGCTCTTGGACTACTTTTTATTGAAATGTAAGGTTTCACTATCCTCTTTCCTCTTTGAGTAGTTTAATTCTATCTAACTCAGCCTTAATCGAAACCAAATTATCAAACAAGCTTTGTAATAACTTGAATTAGCCTTGATTTAACCTAATATGCAAATACGTATGATTCAAATGAACTAGAATGCAAAAGTGACGTTTGAATGCAAATTTGATGTAATCTATGAATATGAATTGCACTAAGATCACGAATCCCCAAGCAATGTTCACTTTTAACCCTAGTTTCACAAATTGACCACACTTTGATATTTTGAAGAATCAATGTTCCTAAATCTATCCAACAATCTCTCGAGTAAAGTTGAACCTATTCTTATATACTATTGGTCTATATCTCTATGACGGGTGCAAATATACAAATATGCATGTGGTTTTGTGTGCACCTAAAGATTCATGCAAGTCATAACGGTATATCTTTATTCCATATCGGACCCTACGACTCATTCCCCTTCTCTCGAATGCATGAAATAAGTCACCATATTCATATAATTACGTGCACATAATTATTGAAACAATTCATTATATATAAATCATTCAAAATTCAAGAAATGTGTTTTGATGTCGAACTTGCAAAACTAGAAATTAAAATGTTATATCACAAGGATCATCGATCTCTTAGATCATGAAAACCTAGCCTAGCATGGATAAAGTAACAAAATACACAATAATTGTAAGAAACGACATCACAGGTGTATTAATTGGCTTGAAATCCCGTTAATCTTCAAGTTTCTCTTTGTTATTGTAGTTTAAGATTTCCTCCAATGTGTTTTTTCTCTCCCAAGGCGTTCTCTCTTTAATATGACGGCTTTTAGGTTTTTATATGATGCCCCGATTAGGTTTCCATAAGTTGCTTGCAAAACGAAAATTGTAGATTTGTGCCCAGAATCGAACCATGCGACCAAATGACTTTAAGCCATGCGATGGTTCAAGCCATCATTGCATGGCTATTTCCTGAATGCCACCATGCGACCGCGTGGTGACCATTATTATCCCGAATGTGACAATTAAGTCCCGATTTTCGATTTCTCGCGTTATGACTTCTTTTCTCTATTGTTCTTCGCCCAATACTTCAATTCTTCAACAAATTAGTCCTTGAACCTTTAACTTCTTTGTTTGTACCTCCGGTTCTTCTTTTGGCATATTTACACTTTGGTCTTTGAACTTTCATTTTTTCCATCTTGGTCCTTTTTCTTTATTTTCTTCCTTCTATCATTCCTTATTATCCCCAAGTTGATACCTAGCTCGTTTCCATTCTCAATTCGCCTTTCTTGTCAACTTTTGATTATTTGCACTTTGGTCACTGGACTTCGTTTTCTTCCATTTTGGCCCTTTTGTTGCATCTTTTCTCTTGAATTCTGTCACAGCCATCAATATAGTCCTACAAAACAAAATTGCATAGAATTACACCATATTTAATCAATTTCATCAACAATTAGTCATGTTTTGTGGACCAACCACTCAAAGACCATCATTCACTTTAAAGGTAGTTTTTCACTTGTCACCTTGGCGGATCCTAATTTGGTTATACCCATTCTTTAAATCAATTTTGGAAAAGATTGTGGCATCGACCATCATATCCAACATATCAAGTCGAGGGATGGGAAAATGATACTTGACAGTGATGTTATTGATGGCATGACTATCCATGCATGTCTTTCAAGAACCATCTTTCTTAGGCATCAGAAGGTTGGGAACCGCACTACGATGAATCCTTTGTGAAAGAGCTCACCCACTTGCCTTTGCAGATCAGCATGCTCAGTAGGATTCATCCTATAAGTGAGGCAAATTTAGGAGAGATGAACCAAGAACAAGATCCATAGTATGTTGAATATACCGTAAAGCGCGAAGGAGCTCACCTACTTGTCTATGGAGATCAGCATGCTTAGTAGGATTTATCTGAGGTAAATTAGGGAGAGATGAACCAGGAACAAGATTTATAGCATGTTTAATATCCCGTTAAGGAGGCAACAAATCAGGGAGGTCCTCAGGGAAAACATTTTAAAACTCTTGTAGAAATGATTAGACCTCAGCACGGGTCACTATTATAGAATTCGATGGGACTTCCACGACAACCACAGTAAACACGCTAGAATCATCTACGAGTGTACGCTCAAACTTTGTAAGGCTAATCACATGAGTCCTTTTCGTTCGGTAATTTTTTTGGCTTGTTGCCTCGCAACAGATTTTAGCGGTAAAGGATTAAGGTGAATTTTCTTTCCATTAAATACAAAGGAACATAAATTTGACCGACCACAGATAGTGACATCCAAATTGATCAAACAAGGTCAATCACGAATGACGTGTCTGATGTCTATAGGAATGATGTCACACCATATATGATTCTTATCTTAAGAAATTGGATAGGTATTAGACAATGCTCTTTCACCTATAGAAGATATGTCAACCCAAGAGACGCTATACTGTTGAGGCTACGGGGCTGGTTTCAACCCAAGATGAGATACTGTAGCCACAGAAACCGCATTAATGCAACTTTTACTATCCACAATAATTTTACAATGTAAGTATAAAAAATGACATGATGATGCCAATCATCGATATCTTTAGGTTGGGTAAGGGTACAATGTACACCACTTAATCGAGAGATGGGCAAGGGTCGCAGAACCTTGACCTACAAGAAGGGTACGAATACAAACCAAAAAGTTATTGTCATTATCATCGAAATCATCAAACTCTTTAAACTTAGGCTCATAGACTTGGTCTTTTAACAACTCATCTACGACATCCTTTTGTTCCTCAGTAACTAAGGCTTGGCTCGGACATTTGGAGGAAATATGGTTGAAGCCCTTACGGTTGAAGCACACAAGTGAGAAGCAGTTCTTGAAATTTCTGGAGCTTTACCTTTATTTTCCAAAGGAGGAGGAGCATTAGATGTGACGACCCGAATCCTTGACTATTCGAGTGTCGCTAAATAAAATTTAAATTCTTTCATAAGAACTAAAATAAGAACACGAAATAATTTTTTTTCTTCAATAAATAAATAAATTGTAGTCTTATTATGTAGCTGCCAAAAATAAATAAAGAAAATAATTCCAACATAACAACTAAATTAGAAATTTAAAGTTGTGCTTTAAACACAATAATTTATTAAACCTACCCCATTGTCATCTCCACGTTGACTGCCTCGAATTATTAATTGCCTGAGAGGGAGAAATATCATGGAGAGATTTATAAAATTTCATTGAGTACGTCATGAATTATTATCGTGTATAACTTAAGGAACATATTAATCATAATCAATATAATGGAGACACAAGAATTTTACCAAGCATGGGTGGTAAGAATTTTTATGTGTAGTGTTACTAAACTCTGATCCCTTTAACATAATCATAATCACATTATACAGTATGGGCCCCATAATAATTTTCTTGAAATTCATGACATAATAATAATAATCGAACATAGGTAGCGTCCTTACAGTGAAATTTAGAAGAAAGAGTAATAAAGACTGAATAGAATTACTTGATCCCTCTACAATTTTCACCTTGGCTATGTACGTGTGTGTATATTATTTGGACTAAAAAATAATAGTGAATGATGGCATGTGAATGTGAATGTGAATGTGAATGTGAATGTGAATGTGAATGAGGGATTTAAATAGGACAAGATTAGGCATGCATCATTAAGGAAAAACCCAAGACGGTGGAAATTGTTCCTTGAAATTTGTGAAATGAGCAAGAATCTCTCTCATTCCTACATTCATGCACACACTACATATTACCTTATATTTGGTCAATCAAGAATATGACAAAAAGCATATATCAAGAATTTTCTATATAAGTGTGGTACTAAGAATTCAACCTTTCTTTAACACAAAAACATGTGGGAATTAACATTTATGGTAAGTTTGCTACAAGGTGTTAGAAGGTGGATTAACCCTCAAATTACCTTATATTTGGTCAATCAAGAATATGACAAAAAGCATATATCAAGAATTTTCTATATAAGTGTGGTACTAAGAATTCAACCTTTCTTTAACACAAAAACATGTGGGAATTAACATTTATAGTAAGTTTGCTACAAGGTGTTAGAAGGTGGATTAACCCTCAAATGAGCCCCTAAATTTTTAATTCTAATAATTAGATCCAAAATTCGTGTGCGGGTATTATATTGGGTCTTATTATGAATTGACATGGACACGTGTGTTCAACACGATGCGTATCAAATATGCTGACACGCTATTTTTCAAAAAAGTACCGATACGACATATCGTCGACACGTTGATTAAATTTTTTAAAATTCTTCATTTAAATAGTATAAATTTAGTTTTATACTTGTTATTAATTTTTCTTGTTTAAATCTTTTCAATATGAGTACCTATTTATTATTTACTAATAACCTTGAGTTAAAAATATATAATTTTTTTAATAAAAAATGTAAAGTATTTATGATAGAGTGTCCGAAGAGTGTCAGTACCGACATGTGTCGGACATGGACACGCTATTTTAATTGAAGTGTTCGTGCCACAGAATATTAGATGGAAGAGGCCCTAGAAGTGTAACGCCTCGACCCCTAGTGGATCGGAACGCTACTTACTTTACTTAGCTTAACCGGTGATTTAGTAACAAGTGTATACGTTTTAGCGGAAGCTTACATTTTCGAATAATAATTTAAATAACAATATTTCAAATACTTTAAACAAAAACACTGA